TTAGGTTATTCCTCTTCATGTTGTCCAACATGAATCTTAGACCTTCCTCTGAATTTTTTACTCTTTTTTGTGTTTGTTCTTCTATCTTAGTGGTATTGAGAGACTTGTCGTCCTGCTCACTGATCCTTCCTTCCATCTCATCTATTCTACTCCTCTGCCTTTTCAAAGAGTTTTCTATTTCTGCCATTTTGTTGTTTATTGTTTGGACCTCTTTCTGTAGGTTTTGGAATGTTACCAATGCTGTATCTATCTTGTTTGATTGTTCCTGTAGCTCTTTTCTGACTTCTTCCTTATTTTTCTCAACTCCATTGTAAAGTGTTTTGAAACATTTTATAATAATTTTTCTGAATTCTTTCTCAGGTATTTCCAAGGCCTGTCCTCCTTCCAGCAGGGAGAGAAGGTCTACTTCTGGTTCATTTATCTCAGATATTTTATCTTTTTCTGGACATGTGCCTATATGGTCATCTGCTTTTGCTTCTTGTACATGTTTAATGTTTATCTGTGGCCCTGATAATTAATTAAGTATGTACTTTGGTAATTTTTTATGTTTTCTGATTGCCTTCCGGAAGATGTGATCAGTATGTGGTCTTCTCTTTTCACTCTTTTATGTGACAGCCAAACAACACCAGTCGGGTAGAAAACAAAGCCAAAATCAAAATCAAAAACAAAAATGGAGTTTTCAGATAGCAGACGGGAGGCTATGTGACCACCAAGCAACACCAGTCAGATAAAAAACAAAATCAAAAGCAAAGTCAAAAACAAAACCGATAATGAGATAAAAACAAAACAAGACAAACAACAACAACAACAAAAAAGAAAGGACAAAAAAAAAAAAAAAGGAGAAAGAATTCAGCATCAGAAGAAACAATGAGATTAAATAAGGCAATCTCTAGTCACACACACGAAAAGAAAGAAAGAAAAAAAAAGACCCTGTATAGGGTTTCTAAGGAGCAGCTGGTGGGTTCAAACCACCGACCTTGCAGTTCAAAAGGCTCTGCAGTCTGGTCCCTTAACCCTCAGAGCCACAGCAGGATTGCCTTGTTGCTGGTGGTAAAAACCACCTCAAAGCGTCTCTGCTTGTGCTGGCTTGTGCCTTGATGGGTGGGCCTGAGCCTCGGAGGTTGGGCAGAGGGCTAGCCTAGGCAGAGGGGGTGCAGGGCGGGATTAGTGGCTGCTGGCAGATGGTGTCCCTGTCTGATGTCATCAGAAAATGCCTCTCTCTGTCTCCCTGCACCGCGGGCACCTGGCCCGCACTACATCCACACAGACAATGCCTCCCGTGGCAATGAAGCCCCCACCCCTCACAAAGGACTGTGCCAGCCCCTGTGGCCCTGCTGGCTCTCCAGGCGTTCTGCCCTACGAACCAGTCTGCTCAATCCCTTTGCTCCAAGCTTCATAGTAGGTGGGGTGCCATCCCAGAGAGGGAGCTGAGTGCAGGTCCAAAATGCCCACAACTCCCCAGCAGCTTGACCTTTTAAAAAAGCAAGTCCACAATGTTGGGGGCTAAAGTCTTATGTTTGCCCAAGGGCCGTCTGTTCTCCTGGAGCCCGTGCACCTGTGCTGCCCGGTCAGGGAAGCGCCGGAAGTCCACTCTTGACTTTGTCTTCTTGAGCTGCCCTTTGAAATTTTCTGATCAGCTCTTTGACTTCATTTCTTCTATTTGCTTTAACAGCTCTCTACTGGGAACCAATTTTCAGAGTCCCTTCTGACATCCATTTTGTTTCTTTTCTCTTTTCTGTCTTTTTAATGAATTTTTTTCTTTTAAGTTTTGTGAATTATGTGACAAGTTTACATGGGAGAACATTAGTTTTACACTCATCTTAT